AAAATCATAGTAGTAATGGAATTTTTTAAACAATGAAACCCCTTATTTAATAAAAACACTGTAAATATTCGCTTGAAGAATGCAATTTAATGAGGGAATCACATCAGAAGAAATCGTGATTATTCTGATGTGATGTCAGTATTATGCGTTAAACTCGTCAAGTGTCATGTACCATCGCTCTCGAAATTAAAAATTTAATGAATCAATTGATTTCATCCGAACCACAGGAGAAAAAAAAATAACGACAGGAAGAATGAAAAATTGATTCTCGCATCAGTAATTAGAAGCTTCCCGAATATCCAGTGTCACGTTAATTAACCCCAACGTTAATACACTGGCTTGGGTATTGAGCGGGCTACCCCCCAGTGTTGTTTCACGGATATTCGATACACCCGACAGTTGTCTATCTTTCATCCCCCTTTTCCGTGTTTCCATTATTCATGAAAACCATGCGCTTGAGGCTCAGCTGAATAAAACAAAATATGAAATTGAAGCAATGTTTAAGCCATGACGATTAATTATACTATCAAAACGATATGTAAATTTGAATAATGCACTTGGAGCATTGGTTTATCGGTAATATGACTAACATCGACATAACTTAGAAGCGACACCGAGAGTGCTGGACGGTATTCGAGGAGTGAGACTGATGGGACATCGGGGAGACCCAGGAGACCCAGGATTATGCTCTCGCAATTGTTCAAACGGAATAAGGATAAGGTCGCTGGCAGTGATACTGACACTATGAGGACTGTTGTCACTGTTGATGATGAAAAGGTAGTCAAATTGTATTTAATGATAACTTCCTTGATTTTTTATTTTTTTCGAGTTATTCGTTTAAAGTAGCTCTACCCTTACGGTAAATTCAAAGATTATTGAAAACTGTAAAAAAATAATTGCAGAAAACTCGTTTAGATTCGGAATTCTAATTTTTTTCTCAATTTAATTATTGTTTTGGTTTTTCAAAGAAGAAATGTTTAAAAATGAGGATTTAACCCAGTGTCTTATGTGAAAATCAACATTTCCATTGTAATCAAAGATTAAAATCTGAATTTTTTTTCATTAGATGTGAAAAAAGCAAGAATTTTTTTGATACCTCATAAAAAATAATCCATCGTTTTGTAAATAAGTTTTATTATTTATTCATAAGAGGGAAATGTTTGAAAAAATATCAATATTTTGCGAAAGTTAATTTAGATAATACTGACTGGTTATGGATTTTTTCAAATTTTAATACACTTTGCAAATCTGTATTAATGTAATCCGGACATTTGACAATGTTTGTGTTATTTAAACTTTTCGGGACTGAATTTGAATCTCGATATTGAACCGTTAGAAAACATTTTAAAAATATGAAAAAAATGAGGTTTACTTTGGAGGAAGATTGATGTAATAATTAAAAAATTGCAATTTTTGAAAATTACGAGCATTTTCTATAAATAATTTATCAACAATTAATTTTTCACCACAATAATCATTTATTTGGAATAATAATAAATTTATTCATATTCAGAATTTTACCAGAAATCGATTTCATGTCTAAAANAGGTTTACTTTGGAGGAAGATTGATGTAATAATTAAAAAATTGCAATTTTTGAAAATTACGAGCATTTTCTATAAATAATTTATCAACAATTAATTTTTCACCACAATAATCATTTATTTGGAATAATAATAAATTTATTCATATTCAGAATTTTACCAGAAATCGATTTCATGTCTAAAAAAATTAGGTTTCCGAAAGTTTAAACAATTTAACTGATTTGTTTATAAACCAAAAATGTTTAGAAAAATGATAATTTTGTGCAAAATGTAATTTGAATGACGCTGAATATTCATGATTTTCATCAAATTTTTCTGACGCAATTTAATCGACAAATTTGATGATCGAAAAAGGTTGAATCCCTAAAAAACACTCATTGTTGAGTAGCAAATGCTATCGAAATAGTTTATAAATAAACTATTTGGTATTTATAAAAGATATTATTCAAAAAATATCTCCAGAAAGAATGAGATAGATAGATGAATAGATAACTGCACTGTTAATAAGATCCAAAATATATTTTTCCCCAGATCGATTAGTTAACATTGAATGAATGATTTGCTCAACTCATTACGAAGCTGTAACATTTAAATTTTCTGGGGTAAATCCGCAGATTTCAATAATCTAAATTCTGAACTGCACGTCAGTCGACCATTTCTTCTATAATCCTATTTTTTTCCCAATCTTCCACACCGTTGAATATTGGCCTCGGATCATGCAATTTGCATTCCAATGCATAATTAATCGAACATCAAATAAAAAACATCATTTCTTTGGGGCAATTGAATTTTTACATAAACTCGTTTTCTTATTAATTTTTCCATTTTTTGTTGGATCATTTCCTGAGATGACGGCTTGAAATTACCATAAATTAATAAACTTGTTACTATCACCGGTGAATTTTTAAAACTAGGAAAAAGCAAATATATAGAAATATTGGAAAAACCGATGAGCACACACGACAGCCTTTTTTCAGCCCCATTTTATCAGAAAAATGGTGCCGTTTGCGTTACTATTTTGCAATGTCACTGTTTGCGTAATTTATATTAAATTTATGAATGAATTCTGTTGATGTACAGACACAGGAGTCAGCCGATGTGACGCAGAAGAGTCAAACGGCCGAGGGGGGTCTGGTTTACGCTGAATTGGACCTAACACAGCGTGAGGTGACACCTCCCAGACGCGTCAGTGAGGACAAAACAGAATACGCAGAGATACTCTACACGAAAACTGAGAAAGATAGTGCGGAGGCAGCTGATAAGAAGTAAAATTCACCCCCAAATCCTCGATAAGCACTAGCAATTATCAAAATTATTTTCCAAATTTCTATCTGAGATTGTTCGAGCACGGAGAAAAGAGATGAATCAAGTATATTTTATACTCAATTAGGGGATCGGTATTTCAATTCGAAGACGATTCTTTTGTATCAGGCCGGGTTGTTCCAAGCCCTCTGAAGTGTAATATAAGGGTCAAAAAGTGGAGGTTAAAAAATGAGGGTCAGAATATTAGGGTCTAAACATTAGGGTCAGAATATAAAAGTAAAAAAAGTGGGTGTCAGGCAATGAGGGTCTAAATATAAGTCATATATTATGCTTGATCACCGCTTTTAGCCCTTATATGACCCTCATTGCCTGACACCCCCTTTTTTACTTTTATATTCTGACCCTAATTTTTTTATCCTAATATTCTGACCCTCTTTTTTTAACCCTAACATTCTGACCCTCATTCCTTCACCTTTGCATTCAGGCCCTCAGTTTTTGACTTTAATATTCCGACCCTCATTTTTTAACCTTCACTTTTTGACCCTTATATTCTCACACTCAGTGTCTGGCCCTTATATTACACTTGAGAGCGCTTGGTACAACCCGTCTTAATACGAAATAATCATCCTCGAATTGAAAGACCCATCCCCCATTCGAGTATAAAATATCCTCGAATCAAGTATATTTTTTTCGCGAGTCAGAAAATTTACAGATATGAAGATAAAATGATAATAAGCACAATCAGACTAAAATGTGGCACAATATTTTCCGACATTAGTTATTTTAATGTTTAATATAATTCCAATAACTGTGAAGAAATACCCAGCATTCATTTGAATACATCAACAAAAAGATTAATTAAAACTATTGATTCTCGTAATCAAGCGTTAAATATGTACTTAATCGATTTACCGGCAAAAACATGTTTTATAATGAAACAATTTTTTGTACATTCTGTTGACAATGTGGGAGTCATAGCGAGTGATTAATTAATTATTATTAGTCATTCGGCTTGAAGTGATATTTTTTTTTCACGAAGTACAATAATCACTCGTGTCACTCTCAAATTGACATACCTTTATCTACTTAATGTATCATGATGTTTTACTTCTGCAAACAAATTTGTATCGTCATGTCAATAACTAAGTCTCAGTATGTTGTATTAATTATCACCGTAATTGATGTCATTTATTTTTAAATAATCGTAATTTTGTACATTGACCATTTCGACATGGTACAATATAGAGGAGCTTTGTCGAATTAAGTGGTGAATTTTCGTTGAACCTCGCATTTGTTCGAGGCACATCTGCCGTCCGATATGTAATAAGTTCATTCTTCTTTTGTATTCCTCATTACATGAGTATGAGGAAAACTGATAGAAAAACTATTGGAATTCTATTAGAATTCTATTGAAAAATGAGTCTTGACTTTTTTCGTTAAATTTGTTCAAATATGCAGCTTCGAATTTGTACAATATAATAAGGAGGTTTAGCGAATTAGGTGGTGATTTTTCGTTGAACCTGGCATTTACTCGAGGTACAGCTACCGTCCGATATGTAATAAGTTTATTCCTCTTTTGTATGACATTTATTTTGGAAATTTAATAAAGAATTATGAATTCATAATAAACAATTTATCATTTTCCTCATCACATGAGCATGAAGAAAACTGGTAGAAAAACTATTAGAGTTTGATTAAAATTCTATCGAAATTCTGATTTTTCTATCCAATTTTTTCTTGTTCGATTTGCAATAAATAATTGAAAAAAGATAGCCAAATAAATCTCAAGAGAATGATTAATATAGAAAAATAAAAATCCATTGACGCGTTCTATTAAATCGGTTCAAACATGCAAGCTTCAATTTTCTACAATTTTCTTCGATAGCTATTTTTCGTCTTCGGCGAACGCTTCCATATTCTTGTCTGTACGAAAATACCCATAAATATACCGATGAATCTACTCTTTATCATATCTGTAACCGACAGAATCATCCGGATTGGATCCATTACTAATGATTGCAACAATTAAGATGGATTACCTTTTGCCTATTCCAAAGGTGCCTATCGCTCTCCTACATCTAAATCCGGAAATATCGGTAAAACAGACAATTAATTTATCCCACTCTTCCCCCTCTTCAACCGCTATTTATTCCAAAATTCAGCATACAATCATCAATTTACCTCAACAAGATGTTTATCCCTCAGTCTCCGTAGCATCAGTTTCCTCAGCCTCGCCATCCTCTCCCTCAGTCTCCTCCCCGCCATCGCTCTCCTCGACTCCTTCAGTCTCCCCTCCACTAGCCCCCGATGCGTCTTCCCTCACCCGATGTTTATAGATCTTGAAGACCTCATCCGCCATTTCTGCCGTGCGCTTCTTAAACTCCCTCTTACTCCTCTTCATGATGAATTCCCTCGGGGGCAGACAATCCAAGGGTCTGGTCAACGGCGCCTCCGGTCTTATCCTCTTCCGCGTCAATCTCTTCATCGACGACTCGAAGTGTTTATCCGCGACAAAGTCAAGAGTCTTCGGATAACGATCGCAGGCTTCCAGAATCTCCGCGAAGGATTCTTCAGAGGTCGAAGACGAAACCAACTGTTTCGCGATCCTCGGATCGACCGCTGGAGAACCGCGGACTCTGGGCTTGGAAACTCCCCTATACCTCTTCCATCTCGAGCTGATGAAGACATTCCGCGCGTTGTCTCTCTCCAAACAAGGAAGCGGAGAGGGCGCCACGGGGTTCTCCAACCTCTCCCCGTATTTAATCCCGACTTCAATATTCCTGCGATACTTCTCGTAATCATCCTCATCATTAGCAGTCGTTGCGCCACAGACCGGAAGCAGCGGGCCGTGAGCGAGCCCCGGCCTCACGCCCACGGCGTCCATCACGATTCTCCTCCTTTCGACATGTCTCTTCTCGTCTGAAGACCGGCAAACTTCCTGTTTGAACTCGAAGATGACCGGAGTTAGGGAAAACTCAAGCCTCTGATTAGAATTGATCATTTTCACTATCGCGTAGACCAGAGTATTGAAGTTGCTGCATCTGAGGACGTAGATGGCGCCGCGGTTGCTCAGAAACAATGGCGGACCCGTCCAGCAGGGATCCGCAGCGTAAAACCCATCCTCCGAGGACAATAACCCCAGTGTTATCTTCCCACACTTGAGCACGATGTTCTTGGACTCCCCGAATGCTAGTTTGAGAACACTGGCGAGGGTCAGTCTTCCCCTCCCTCCATACAGCGTTCCACACATCGACGGAAGGAACTCGATCTTCCAGATATGCGGGAAGACTTTGAAGCAGGGCTGAAGATTAAAGATATTAGAGTACTTAGACGCCCGCCGCGCTGCGTTCTTCAGACTGTCTGTGTGATAACTGTCCCCGCAGTTGACTGCCGAGTCCAAAATCCCGGAGCTCCACCTAGACGGGTGGCAGAGGTGCTGCATGGCGAGAACAGCGATGCAAATGGCGGCCTGATTCCTTCCCGCGCGCTCCCCAAAATGGCTGCCGTAGGCTCCCAGAGTTCCCCAGAGGGAGTAGATCAACTGAGGAACTTCGATAGTGTAGTTGTTCCAGGAAGTCTTCTCGGGGACTTCAGCTGTCTGCTCTTTGCAGATGTCTTCTCTATTCTTCTTACTTTTCTTCCTCTTCTTTTTCGTGGGGGAGGAGAGGGGCTTCGCGGCGTGATGGGAGCTCCAGTGGTAGTCCAAATACACCCACATGGGGTCCTCCTGGAACTCCGGAGATGGCACTGCATTGATGGACTCCACGTGAAGACGATGGATGAAGAAACCCGTGGTGTCTTCGAACCTGTTGGACAACATCTGCTTGACCATCTGGCAGACGCTCGGGAATACGCAGAGGCAAGCACTCCCGTTACGCGACACTCTTCTTCCTTTTGGGTTACAGGGGTAAGGGTCCAGGTAGTAGTAGCAACCTGTTGCCCTGGAATACCAGAAGCCGTAGCAGCAGTTCGTGAAGTGCAGGATTCCGTCATTATGCTTCTTGAAGTGTCTCTTCAGTTCTGTCTTCACTAGAGCGTAAAAATCGGTCTGGCCGGTCGCGTGGTTCTCGGTGAAGGTGAACAATCCTGAAGCTACGTCCCTGAAGTCGAAGATCCTGTTCATGATGGTGATGTTTCTAAGGATGTGTTCGATGTGGTACTTCGGGGTGTCGAATTCCCGGTATAAGTTATCAGCGACCTGGAGGATCTTGTCGATCATGGAGGCCATAGGACTCTGCATTACGTCCCGCTTCACCATGAGGACGATGACAGCCACAAAGTAACAGCGTTTCAACGCAGGTTCTATGATCAAGTCCCTGTGATCGATCGCCACCGTCCCGGGGATGAAGAGGGGCCCTGACGAGAGCACCGTCGGCCTGAACATCTCTTCTAAATCATAAGGTTCCCCATCCCTCCGGTAAATTTGAGGAAGGGACGACGTCACTCCAGACTCGTGAAGTCCCTTCAGGTCATCACAATCCGGATCCATCTTCTTGGCGTAGGAAATCGTGACGACGCGCATCTGGAACTCCACCTCCCCAGGCTCATCAATCTCCATCACCAACAGCTTCAGGAAGTCCTCGAACGAGTTCGAAGTTATGATCCTCAGGTTTTTCGTCCCGGCAACTCCCCACCATCCGTAGAACCGGTCCTGTCTCTTCATGACGCCAATGTGAGCCCTTCCGCAGAGGACCACGGCCCCAGAGTAGATCGGAGTGTCAAATATCTTCTTCAGTGACATCGACAGGTTCCACCCTTCCGTCGCGTAGAGTCTCCCCACGTGGATCGGTGCGAATACCGCGTGGAATCGATAGTTGGCGACGTCGAAGTCAGTTAGCAATCCGTCAATCATGCCAGACACCGTGGAGTCTTCGGCTGCTAGTAAACTGTCGAACGTCAGGTCTTGACTGGCTTCGTAGATGCCTCTGATTGTTCTTGTTCCCCACTCTGTCGGATCGCGGATGCAGGCCCACGCTATTGTGCAGAGATCGATCGGCTCGAGGATGATGGAGTGTTCGTTGAACTTTCTGTCGAACGGCTTCCTACGCGGTGGCTCCTCCGACGACCTTGACACTCTTGTTGTCTTGAATGGCGGGAGATTTGGACGCGTGATGTCGTTCACCACAACGGAAACTTCCAGGGCTGACGCGTTGAAATTATTCAGCGCCCTGAATGTTTGATAGGTCGAGTCGAAGGGAGGCGGCTTCGGGTGACGATCAGAAAGCCAATCCTTCAATTCGATTAAGGAAACGCTCGGGTTGACTGACGGCGACATCTCCGGCTCGTCGATTTCTAATGGACTCTCCGCGAGTTCCTCGGTTCTACATTTTTTACGGGAGGGTCTCGCCGTTTTCTTCTGTTTTATCTCCTCCATGTGGGTTATGCATAAGGTGTGGATCCTGTACGGCTGGCTCGGAGAGACTCCTGAATTCTCGCGGATTTTTGTGATCATATCCTCGATTGAGGAGAATTCTAGGAGACAGCAGGTGCCGGTGTTGTCCCGCTGACCATCTTCGTCGCAGGGGTAAGGGTCGAACAGGTAGTAGTTACCGTTCGCGTACCAAAACGCGAAAGATCCAGTACTGAAGAGCAATATCCCCGTGGAGTGGCTGGTGAGGTAGGCTTCAAGTCTCGTCGATAATTCGTCGTTTTCGAAGTTCTCAGGATCTGCGTAAGCTGTTTGTTTCAAAATCACGTTGAATTTTACTCCTAGGAACTCGATGTTCCGGAAGATGCGGGAGAGCTTGTAGCGTAGGCTTCCGGTCTTCGTCTGCATCTTCTCGGAGAGGAGGACGATCTCGTCCAAGAGGGTGTTAGGGAGGTCGTTGACGTCCATTTTGATCTTCGCGAGGATGCAGAGGATCGCTGCGAAGTAGGAAACGTTCAGGTGGTGGTCTTCGAGGGTCTCGGGGGGCTCCAAACGGCTGTTCGCACGGAGGATGGAGAGGGATTCGTTGACGTATTGGAGGCCAATTGTTTGCGGGACTCTTTGAACTTCTTGGGGAGCATCGGCTGGAGTTTCTTGAGGCTCTTGTTGAGGGGAAAACTCGGAGGGGTTTTCTTGGAGGTCTATGGTGTTTTCCTTTCCTCCTTCGGATTCTCCGGTTTCTACTTCAGATTCTTCGCCTTCAGTCTGTAAGATGATACCTCTTATCAACTGGACGATATTTCAACTGCGACATTTTAACTGCGACTTTTGAACTAAAATTTGTCAACTGCGACATTTCAACTCAAATTTTTCTGCTTCAACGATTCAAATGTATTTTTGAAAAATATTTACTGCCGTTTTTACAATATCTTTGACAAAATTTCTTCAATTTTTTGGTGTACACTCGGATGATAACCGAATGAAGCTAAGAAAGGTATAGCAGGTGTTTTCTCCATGTGTTGACTCTTGTACAGATCCTTCGTATTGCTATTACTGTGCAATGATGTGGTGTGGTTTATGATGATTTTTTATCGCTTACTTGTTCATTATATTTATTATGATTGATGTTATTAATGGTGAACGGTGGTGTTTCACAACCGCGAGTATCGGTTGATTCAATTAATTTGGGCTTATTGATTGTGTAGTTCAAGTATTCATTTCTTTTTCCGGAAGTTCAAATAATAAATGTAGAATTCTGTTCACTGCTATATTATTGTTAATTTTGTGTCCGTCAGTAGTTGTTTAAAATCTAGTTAAGTGTCGTAGTAAAAAAATCCCGGTGTATTTGTGGCAGTTGAAACGTCCAGTTGATAACTGGTGGAACCGTCTGTAATATATTCTATAGCCAAAAAATACAACAGAGAATATCATTCAGGCGACTGATAAAGGATATAGTCTTACCCGTTCACTAAACTTCAACATCGGAAATATCATATCGAACAGGATATCCTCAGTGTAACAAGCAATTTTCTCCAAATTCAAATTCTGCCTCTCCACCTCCGATAATCGACACTGCCGCTTCTCCCCACCAACACACGGCTTGACTTTGATTTTCGGTGTGGGTGTCATTATAACCGGTCCAAGTGGAATAATTGACGGGGTAATTCTCACGCCCCCCGGCACTTCAGGCACCTCCGTCAAGTAGAAACTCTCCGACGTTGTCGCTTTTAATTTTTTACCCCGACACTCTTCCTCCATTTTCTCATCCACTCTTTCATCGTGAATGAATTTTTCATTGATGGCCCTGAGTGGCGTAAAGCCAATCGGCGGAACTCTGGAGAAGAGATACTTCTTTGGTGGGAGTTTAATTAATTTTGAATTACTCTCGGTTGATGGAGACTCAATTACTGGGACGTTGGTAGCGTCAACAGGTGGTAGGTCTGTCTTGACGGCTAATCTGGAATCTATGGAGAAGCAGGAAACGAGCGAGGGAATGGACTTGGTGGCTTTCTTAGCGGCTAAGAGCATCGCGAGGATCCTCTTCGGGGGCAGAACGTAAGGCGGTGGGTGATTGTACTTCAGGCGTTCGTACTCCAGAGCCTCCTTCGCATTCTGATCAATCTCTTCGTCCTCTAGCTTTACGTTTGTGGTCAGAAGGAAGAGGTTGAGCTGTCCTGGTGCGTCTGGCCGATCCTGCTCGGGAACCTCCATCAGGGGGTCCACCAAGGGCGCTTCCTCGACGGCTTCTTCCAGTTTTTCCTCACCCTCCTCGCCTTCATCGTCACCTTCGTCGGCGTTCTCATCTTCCTCTTCGTCTTCATCCGCGTCTTCCTCGTCGTCTTCTTCGTCTTCTTCATCTTCCGAAACATCATCTTCCACTGCGGATTCCTTCGGTTCTGGTCTCAGTGCGGCCACGTCCGCGTCCGTCAGAGGAAGAAAGACAGTCTGATACTTCTCCACGTCATCCCGAGGCTGCTCTATCTCAACCGGGGATTTGTATTTATTCCCAGGACCCACTGACTCGATATGAACGAAATGCAGGGAGAACTTGCGGTCGTTGAACTCGAGGATCCCGTGGAGTAGGTCGACCAGCTCGTTTATACAATCGGTCACGACGAGACTCCCTGGATGTCCTCTCAGTCTCCAGCCTTCCTCGTCACCCCCGTAAGGATTGAAGATAAAGTAATTGCCATTGGACTTCCAGATCGCGTATATCAATCGCTTGTTCTCGAGTATCAGCTCGTCGTATTTCATGAAGTAACGATCGAGGGCTTCACCCAGGTTCACCATGGGGTCGGCGTCCCCTTCAGATATCGACATTCTGCTGGAAAACTTCACGTCGTAATCTCCGAATTTAATTCGCGGCGGAAGCATCGAAACGTCTATGTGGCTTGGAGCTTTCCCCAATGGTTTTCTATCTTCCTCTTCGTCTTCTTCATCCTCGTCTTCCTCCTCTTCGTCTTCCTCGTCCTCTTCATCATCATCAACATCCTCGGACTCCTCCTTCAGCTTTGGACTTCCCTTCTGGATCCAATTGACTAGATCGTTATGGGCTTTGTCCCCAGCTGCGAGTAGATAATCTAGATCGGTGCTCCTCCATTTTGAGGGAGGTTTGATCTTGGCGAACGCCATGACCGCCAGGGCGATTGACAAACACTGACGGCCGCGTGCGGTCTCGCTAAATTCCTCAGACAAGCAGTTCTTCGATGCTTGGAGGATAATTCTTCGAGGGTTCACTATATTGTAGAACTTCATGTTCTTGAAGTCTTCGTTGTCACCCGTCAGTATCAGGATCAATTCTTCGTCCGTCTTCATGAAGTCTTCTACGTTGGTCATGGGCTCTGGAAACTGGCTCTCGACGCTTCTTATCTTCTCGTCGTCTGGTCTCGCCCTGGGAATCATGTCCGGCTTAACCACGCAGTGATCTGATGGTTTTTCAGGAGGTGCGGGAGGAAGAGGTCTTCGGTTCGTCTTCTTCTCCCGGAAGACAACAGTCCCTCCTGGAGCATCGACAGATGATTGAGTTTTCACGTAGAGCACCTGGACTCCATGCAAGAAGAACGGATCCTTCTCGGTGTTCCCAGTGTTCTCCAGGATCACCTCCATGAGTTCGTTGATGGAACTGTTCATTGTTACGCAAGCAGCTGCCGTCTCGTACTTGACCTGCTCCTCCGCATCACTCGGGTCAACCCTGAACCCTTCCGCATCACAACCGAACGGGTCCAGAAAGTAGAACTTCCCGCCGTCCTTCCACACTGCGAAAAACATTCTCTTCACCTCGAGAATTCCCAAGTCGTTGACCTTGAAGAAATCACGGAGTCCCGAGTCAATCGTTGTTTTCCCCTTTTTCGCTTGACCGGGGACCACATTTTCCCAGACTTTCACTTTTGCTCCGTAGACGCCGAAGAAAAAATCACTGAGGAGGTCTGCTATGTTTAATGAGAAGCTGTCGTCAAACTTTTTCTCGAGTACCCTGACGAGATCCACGAAGTAGATGTGGGATTGGTTGATGATGAGGTCCAGTATGGGGGTGCTCCACTTGGCGGCGGGGATCAACCGGGAGTAGACCAGGGCCGCGATTGCGATGATGAGGTGAGTGCGACCTTGGAGGTCTGGCGGGATGCTGGGGTGCTTCAGGTGGAAGGAGCCTCGGACGAGCGCTCGGAAGGTTCCTTGGATTATGTAACCGCTTGGACGTCTTTGGGGGGGTCCCAAGAATTTTTTGACATCTAGAAAGGGTGATGTTTTCTTTACATTGTATCATTTGTATCATATTCATTTTTTTGGGCAGAACAGGCCATGATAATTATCCTTTATGATGTAACTGAACATAATCAAGTGGTAAGAAAGGTTAAGGTTAAGGAGGGATTCTAGAGTAAGGTGAGTAGGCGTTGAATCGACTGTCTTTGAATCGTAATAGAAACCTATCCGTGGCCCATACGCTACCGCGTCTCCTACCCATTTGGCGCCAAACCGTTCTATCAACAGTTGATAATGTAGTATCCAACAAAAAGAGAAACTACTAGATTCACAATTCCAGACCCAATTCCAAATGCTAATTGCTTGGAAATCGAACCCAGGAAAATTCTAAAAAATTATTCATATCAATCTCGTCTTCCATGAGTACAATACCTTCATCCTCGTCTCCTGTGAGTCTCATGATCGCCCTGACGCCGATTGGATAAAGAACAAAGTATTCATTCTTAACACTGCTCTTCTCCAGAATCACAAAAAACACTCCATTCAGATTCTGAAGAGTGATCAATTTAGCAGAGCCCTGGTCATCCGGTATCAGATTCTTATCCCGCGGTTGACCGTCAAAAACATTGAAACTCCTCCCATCCCTCCAAATGGAGATGCTCAGGACCGGTGAAACGAGCACTCCAGAGTCATAACTCTTGAAGAAGAGCTCGAGAGCCTTGACCAGGTGCATCTCGGTGGGTTTCACCGAGCGAAAGGTCCCGGTGTATGCTGCATCATCGATGGTTACCAGGGCGTTGTGGCTCCGTTGGATGACTAAGGACTTCTTGAGCTGGAGAACAGTCAGTGTCCGGCGATTGGCGGTCTTTATATCTCTGTAGGAATCGCAGAAGTATGTATCACCGTCCTCAATTATCTGATCGATCACGGATTCGTTCCACAGGCGGGGCTTCTGCAGGCTCGTCGTTGCGAATGCTGCGATTGCTATCGCACCGCCCTGTTGATGGGACAATTTGAATTTTATGAGGGGTCGGAATGTGCCTCAGTTGTCATGTGTAATTTTGTTGAAGGAAGAGATGCGATCTAATGCGGAAATCGCGGGGTGGTTAATAGCGTGCGGATTTTGCGGGATTATTGAGGGAATGTGAAACTATTCGGTTTACCTTTATCAGTATTCGGGAAGGAAACTATTTTATGCATTCATCAAAACATTTTTCCCGGCTCTGGGTACCCATCACGATGAATTTAAAAGAAAGTTGAAATATTTGAATTTTAATAGTTACGTCCGTTTTATTTTTTTTATTCTTTTGCGTCAATTCATACAATTAAAACAAGTGTTTTGACTATTTTATTACACTGCCAATTGAGTACAACTCAACCAGAATGTTTTATTTCCAATTAACTTCCGTTTAGAATTTATTTCAGATTTTCATCTTCAAAATTTAAGTCATTTTTATACTACTTTAACACTCCATAAACGGCCCACGGCCGGGAGTTTATGAATAAAAATATGGACATCTACCTACTTATGATATTTTTAGCGGATATTTTCATTGATAGGGCTTGTAGACTCTTCACAATGAGATGTCAATTTTTTTCAAATTTTTCTGAGCCTTCACTGCAGTGTAATTGGAAAAATCGGAAAAAGCGCAGCGCCGCGCTCGTACCGCGACCAACGGAGCGTTAAATGAAATTGTCCGTCACGCGACGTTGCCGGAAACTCGCTGAACACGCCCGGGCGTTGTAGAGTGAATTCGCCAACACTGGCGCCTAAATAACCCGGCGGCGAATACCTGCGGAAGCGGTCCAACACCAAATGCTGGAAGCCAAAAAATTCTTCTCTCCGCGTGAAGAACTATATCTATTTCTCCGAAAACTCACTTGAAGACCTCTCGAAAACGGCGAAAAGATCTTCATATTCATATGAATAATCCCGGACTTGACCCCATAATTCGCCGACTCGGGCAGAGTTATTTTGATTTTGGTAAGAGAATAGGTGTCAGCTGGGAGTCCGAGAATGTTATTCAACCGCGTGCGTTCGGCCTCGAGCTCCTCGTCGGCCTCATCCTCACTCTCCACTCTCCCTTCACCCGGAATTCGACCAAACGCCTCAGCTTCCTCATCCGAGATGACCTTGTCACAGTCAGCAAGCTCTCGCAACCACTCCCGATGACTCGGGGCCACTCTTCCGTCCTTTGGCTTCACCATCCTCACGGCTACTTATCACTCATTCGTTCCGATCTCCCACTGATTATTATCTCATTGACACCGTCACCGTTGCACTCGCGTTATCGGATCATCAGGAAGTCCGGAGTAACCTCTCGGCGTGCTTGACTCGCGTGCTGTTGGTCTTGAGGGGTTTTTGATGAAGAGATGTCTGTGCGGTATTCATGAGGCTGACAGGCGTATTTATTACCCTAAATTTTACATTTTATTCAACTACAAAGGAATTATTGTATAATTAGGTGTATAATGACCACATTAGTATGGGAGATTGAAAAAAAGGAATGTCTGCACTGTCTGAATTTGGCTGGAAGCAATTCCCGGAATTTTGAATAGGTGAAATCGCCAAATTTTTGGGGGGAATTTTTGTCGGAATATTACGGTTCTTTTAAAATACTGATGCAAAGGAATAATAATAATATTATAACTAATATTATTAATAATATTAATAATAATATAATATTATATTATATATTATATTATAATATATAATATAATATATATAATATGTATATAATATATAATATATATTATATTATAATAATATATTATAAATGTATATATTATAAAATATTATTACAGTATTATAATATTATAATGTGAAAGTTCAAAATTTTAAGGAAAAATCAATAGAAACTGTGAATTTCAGTTCAATCATTCCATGAAAATTGAATGAATTTTTGATTAATGGAAAAAAAATTAAAACTGCGGATTTGACAAATACAATGCTTCCATTCGAAAGCAAAAGTCGCAAGGGTCCATTTTTCCCCGCTATCAGTATAATTTTTTTTCGCACATCTCATTCGATTGAATAAAAAACAAATGGTCGTGGTCTCTGAAACTATCCGCAGTTTCAGAGACCGCAAAATCTCAAATCCCTCAACTTTACCAAAATGTATAATAGTGTTTTGAGAGGAATAAAAATCTCAGAAAAGTGAACAATCCGCGCGATGGGAGACGAGATAATCCGAGAGGTGGCATGCATCGGTATCAATTAACAATATCTGGAGTGAAATCTCGTGATAAATTTTAGTGAAAAAGATCCTGGGATACGAAAATGGTAAGGCTACGTATTTGTATGCATAATACCGTGAGCAAGGTCGAACTCTTTTGGAGATGGAATCACAACTCGTTTCTCCTGAGGCGAAATATTTCCTGGGTTGTTTACATTTTACCTCTTGGAGAACAATGGAATTGTGGAGGCATGTGTCAGTGAACTATGAATTTGATGCATACAAATTTTGGGACAATTTCTGGTGAAATAAAAATTTCGGACCTCTTGTCTGTCTATTCACGTTGGGGTCTGGAGAATCACGAAAGTTTTGATGACGGAAGTTGGAGGGGCTATTCGCAGACTAGTAAAAATAATTTTTTTTTTTGAAAAAAATTATAAAAAGGAAATATTTTGCATTCAAGCAGGGAAAATCTTACGAATTCTCCAGGAAATTCAGTGATTTTTTTCAAATCTATTTGTTTCCAAAAGTTATATAAATAAGTCGTAAAAGTTTTCAATGAATATTTCATAATATAATTATCAAATATAATAATTTTTCAATAAATATTTGATTCGATATTTGTCCACAAATGTTGATTTTTCAATAGAACTTGGTGCCATTTTTTCTATAAGAATGCAAATATAATTTCGAAATTGATATTTCAAATTCATTCAAGTATGGATAAATAAAATTTTTCTTTTAACATTTTATCGAAGCGCTGAGGGGAGATAAAAGAAATGAAGGGATAATAGAATAATGATGATGATAACATTCAACTAACTTGAAAATCTGCTAAAATTAGTTGAAAAGAAATCTTATTCAATTTAATAAAATGAAATCAACGATGAATTACACATGATAGAGGAAAAAAATGTGCAAAGTAAATATTCTAACGCATATTGCTAATTTATTAGCAAAAATAACGATTTCAAGGAAAACAATTATGAAATTTCAGGTTTCACTGAAAATTCAGTAAAATTCCAGAACTTTAAGCAGCAAAAGACGAGAATTCCTTAATTTATTTGAATTTCCAATACAATATGAATATTCAGTGCCAAATTACATGGAATTTTCAGCGAAAATAACTGACATTAACAGTTCCCTTTAATTTTTCCACGAAATTCTGATTTTTCAATCCCGAAATTCCTCGAAATTTCAGTGATAATTAAATTCGATAAAAATTTCCAAAAAGTGTACCGGAAATTCCACACAAAATTTTCAAAACTGCACTGTATGCAATAAAAGAGCGATTTCTCACTTTTTTTTGCAATTTTCACCCAACGATTTTGTTGACCCAAGCGAGACTTGTTTGAGAACTTGTTCGTTTTTCTCCCAGTGCAGATGAGGGAAAAGCATTGAAACTCAGTTCACGATAAACAGTGAATTGAATGGCGGATTGGCTCATTCCGTGCGTTACACTAAGTAGTCAGTAAAGCCGACGAAGCACTTGTGGTTTAAAGGATTATCCAAGGCACTCACGGATATCTCCTGGATGTATCCACTGAGACAAGAGTCTCCTCCGGGCTTCATCCGGGCCAAATCGTCCGAGATGAATCATTCATTTGTATAATCCAGCTTAATCACGAGCTACGACAACTCACTCCAATCATTGAGCATTGAGTTGTTACATAAAATTAGTTGATCCCCTCGCCCTCCGACGAATTCCGGGAGATTGACCAATCAATTGGGCGATTAAACCGGACGTAAACATCATGTACAAGAGGATCGAGGAGTGCTGCAAGTATCAGGGGCAGATAAAAAAATTAACGAAGACGAAGAGGAGGAAAAAGAAGGTGGTCGATGTCGATGATGAATGCAAGGGCAGAGGAGATGAGAGCGCTCGGGGTGCAGTTAGGAGGAAATTAACGCCTGTGAAGAGTCGATGTGTATCGGAAATTGAGAGGATAAAACCATCCGTCAATGTTAGAGATCAATACTCGTTTTCACGGCATATTCAATGTGTCATGGATAGCTCGGCCAAGGATTCAGGTTTATCCAGGAGTTTTTATGGGATTTCCACGGCTGATCGCGCACGTAAGAACGGAGAAATTAAATTTATTCGTGAAATAGGGATGAAATAATTGGGAAGAATGTTTCTAATGAATTTCATTTGAAGTTCTGTTAGTGCTGGGCATGAAATTCTCGGGAGATTCTTTCTGTAGAGAATGTTTGGGAATGATTTTTCTGAAGTTTTTCTACTGCATTTTTTGTTGTTGAGGAATTTGAGGATATCCTAGTATTTCGTATGTTTTTTAATGTCGCAAAAAAATTGGAGAGTACACCCAGAAAAATGGTTTATTTGAATTAAATAAACTTTATTTGAATCGAATAATCCTTCTGTTAGAAGCAAATGAATAATTTATTTGATTTAAATAAATTTATTTAAATAAACAAATTAATTTGAATTAAATAAACATTATTTGAATCGAATAATTCCTCTATAATTCCTCTATTAGAAGCAAATCAATAATTTATTTGATTTAAATGAAGTTTATTTAATTGAAATAAACCATTTTTCTACGAAGTCATATACGGTTATGTGTACGAGAAAACTCTTTAAGACTATGAACTATTGGATTGAAGGTGGGAGTAAACAGCTCTTATGGACGCAATGTGTTAAATTTAATTTTTATTTAAAATTGTTCTCTCGAAAAAATATTCGGAAACTGCAGTTGATATTGCGCCTAAAAAATATTCTTGGTCTCTTCCGTAAGCTCTGAAGAGGATTTCCCCCAGAAAAATTGCCTGAACTACTTGGATATCCTTAAGGTAAAAAGATTGAAAAATTCATGCTTAAGAATTCTTAGAGAGGAAATCTCCCAGTAGAATACGTTACATAAAAAAGTCAAAATCTTTTTATGTAATACCATTTTCTTTCCAATATTTATCAAAGTATCGCAGGGAAATTTAATAATTCTCAATAGGAAATAAAGAAAAAACAGAATTTTTCATAAAATACTAATGAAATTTCGATTGAATAGTCTTGCAAATGCAGTTAAGTCTCTGTTTAATTTTTTTCCGTACGTCAATGTGCCTCACGTGAAAAATAATTGTCCACAATTTTTTGTTCTCCTTTACTACATTTTTTTTTAGAAAAGAGAAAAGCGCGGAAAAAACCCTCGAATAAAATAAAACCCACGCGGATGGAGGACACGAGGACAAGGGGAACCCATGGAGTTCGAGATTTGGACTCTAAAAATGTCAGATCAGTGAAATTCAGGGGTAACGGACGGAAACAGGTTGCGGGGACCGAGGGTTCAACTGATTCTGACTCGAGTTCCGAATACGACGAGATATGTTCTTTTGATAGCGACATCAATCTTTCTGGTATGTAATATCATTCTTTTGAATTTACTTGTGGACAAAAAAGAAAGTTTCCACTAAAACATGCTAATTTTTGTAGTAGTAATTGTTCTCGTGAGACATTTATATCTCTTTCGGGTGAATACATTCGTTCTACAGAAAATTATATGAGGCTCCGGTTTTGTCAAGTGAATATTACCGAGTAGTGTAGATCTTTGTCCAATAAACACTTGTAATTTCCATGGAACAAATGATAAATTCAAGAGGAAACTACAATTTTCTTGCCGAAAACTGGGTTATTGGCAAAACTAAATAATTTCGAGGGGACAATTTTTTTTTGGGGAAAAAATATTCTTTCCTCGTCAATGTATTCTTTCTATGGTATAAACCTATGGAGTTCTTTCAGATCAAATAATTGTCGTACAATAGATTATATTTCGTCCTGTCAACAGTTCGAATTCTTTTAGGGATATTTCTGGCGATCACGACAAAAATTTAATTTTTGTGAAAGATATTAAATTTTCTCCCGCCGAGTTGGTTAATTTCCCTCAAGTCAATCAGCCCCACTCCATCAAATATTCTCACGTGGAACATACAATTTTTCAGTGACATATCCCTGAAAATAAACTTTTTTTTCTCCGTTGTTTTTGAAACTTTACGAAATAAAACTGGAAAAAATAATAAAAAATGAAATTGTAAATAACAAAACACTTGCAAAATTTTCCTTCTTGAAAACAGTATTCACAAACCAGTATCTCTCGTTTCTACATAAAAGTATTTTTGACAAATATAATGCATCCACTTTTAGAACATCAGTTTTAATTCAATTCGGAATGAACATGGACAAATGTGCAACTCTGTCCCCATTTTTTTCAGCATTTCTTGGGTTTTTTTTATTTCATAGGAGTGACCTTGACCGCCGAGGATCAAGCTGCGGTTGTAGAGAACTACACAAAGGCTCATACGTCTCTGACAATTACTGGGAATGTCAGCAAGTCCGGAGTGGTTGAAACTGCATAAAAAAATGTGCAAATCCCATTGAATCACTTGTTTCCTGCATGTGGAAATAATATCAGTCGCAACACTGAACAAGAATCGGAAGAATTCTTGGAATAAAGAAATAAATCTCATCTCCTGAAATAAATTTTCATCTAACGTTTGCGATATGAAATTCATTTTTTACAATTTAACATAGTAATTTTTAACGGACAAACCAGTATAAAATACCCTGACGAAAACATTTTCAAAAGTGTTAAAAACCCTCAATTTTTTACCAATTTTTACTATTGAACGCCGAGAAGTTACTCAAATCGTATGAACTTTCACTATGTTAAAATGTAATTTTTTCTTACCATTTAAAACTTTAGTTTATACTCCCGCGCCTCCTACATTTTACTCCAGAAAATAGCAGAAATTACCATGTTGACTAGTAAAAACTCCAGCGGACGACGAGAGCGTCGATTGTTATCGATTCTTGGGATCTACTCCCTCCGTCTCAATTTACTATGTTCAACAGTAATTTTTTCAACGGACTCCATCATATTTTAATTTTGTCAGTCGTATTCTTTCATCCAGCCCGTCGTACTTTTTCACTTGTTCTCAAAATTACTATATTCCCACATTCAGTACAAATAATAATAATGCATTCTCTCATTTCTAATTAATAAAGCCTTTCTTTGAATCAAGAAAACATGTGTTTATATTTAAACACTATTTATTCAATCTGAATAATGACGCAAATAAAAATCAAGTTCAAGTTTAAATAAAAGGGATTATATTACTGAATTATTTAACTCAATCTTCGGTATGGTATACCACTGCGGCAGAATGGCTCGTCGCCTGTAGGGATAGAATGATTCATTTATTCCAAACGAGATTCGTTAACTATTAACGAATGGTAGAGTTCAATATGACCAAATGAATATTCGTTAATAGTTAACGAATGGTCACTTGAATGGCGAATGTCAAGTCAAACAAGGCTCCTCAAATATACATTCGTTAACTATTAACGAATGAACATTTGGTGAGACCGAACAGACCCTAATCTCCAACCAAAATCCATTCGTTAACAATAACTAATCCGTTCTATCAGTGTGTATCCATCGAACACGGACAAGTCTCACCTCATCAGGATGAACCTTGATGTTCGGAAATAATGAGGAAGAGTGACTTGATGGACATCATCAGCACTTACGCATAAATGTGGAAGAATAATATATTCATAACGCAACGAAGAGTCTACTTTATGGCTGTTCGCAGCGTAAAATAATTGCACCGTTGATAAATCCTCAATAACACGTAGTGCACGCAGTTTATCACGGCAATAAAGACATTTTAAAAATTCAGCAATAAAAATTTGCAGCTTGTGAATCTCCCCCATCTTTCGTTGTGTTTCTGTTAATGAACAATGGAGCGCCCCCCCCAAGTCGAATAATTGGACCTGACAAGTTCTACTTAGGTCTTTCCGTTCAGAACTGGATAGGTCTTGGGAAGCCTCTTCCCAAGTGCTTCCGAGACCTTTCTACCACTGGTTATGTCCCATTTCAGCACTCCTTAGGTGTAATAGTTGGAATCAACGTTCACCTGGCTAAAAAATTCAATTTTGGTGAAAGTCGACTTTCCTCTTGGAAAAACGGAAAATCTGACCCTTTGAAAATCTGAAAAAAAAAACCTTTTTCAGTTTTCACTTTTTCCACATACTTTTAAGAGTTCTGAATAGCCCGTCGCTTAAATAGTTGGAATCAACGTTCGCCTGGCTGAAAAATTCGATTTTGGTGAAAGTCGACTTTCCCCCTGGAAAAATCCAAGATCTGACCCCTTTGGGTCCGGGTGAAAATTTCATTTTTTCAGTATTCACTTTTTCCACATACTTTTGAGAGTTCTGAACAGCCCGTCGCTTAAATAGTTGGAATCAACGTTCACCCGGCTAAAAAATTCGATTTTGGTGAAAGTCGACTTTCCCCCTGGAAAAAACTGGAAATCTGACCCTTTGGCTCGGGGTGAAAAAAAAATTTTTGCCTTTCGACATTTGTCGCACCTCCGGGGGTTTCATTGGCATCCGAATCATTCGAAAATACAGAACCTACCTTCATTTGGCGAAAAAATCCAATCACCATATGAAGACAGCAGCAATTTCCCACTTGTTTTATCTTCAGATTAAATTCAATGTCGCTCCTCTGAAAATCACTACTCAGTCCTTTTTACAGTGAACAAGGGCCAATGATTTATTGAGAGGCTCAATGAACGTTCATTAATTTAGTCGCGATTATGACGCTCATCCCTAGTATCCCCCAGACCTAAATAGATAATAGGTCGATGGTGTATCTCCAATGCATCAAACAATTCGTTTTTTCCTCTCGTATTAACCATCTCCTCTTGCTCCCTCTTCACATAACTTAATTCATGCTTATCAGTTCAAATGGAGTACGTTCTTACAGCCACGACAGACATTCATTATCAAAAACTGGTTGTCTTTAGTTGGTAATTCCTTGGCTCTCGTGCTTCCTCGGGAGAATAAAGAAGGAAAAAACAATTCAGTGGGCGAGTGGAGGCATCAAACCCCCTTCGTCAGTACATTTGAATATTCTCCCCAGTGCAGTTGTGATAAGTTACGTGCGATTGGCCAGAGTTTTTTCGAAGAAACTCAATTGTATCGCATTTGGACGATGTACGGATGTGTTAATCGTTAATTTGTTTTTTTTTATTGCTGAAGTTTCTACCGCGTTTATTCCATATTTATTTCGCTCCACTTTGTCGCTTGTTATTTAATTTATCTGTTAACTTCAGACACTGGTGACGAGAGAATGTTCTGTTATACCGGATATCCCATACGTGAGTTGAATTTTTATTTTAATAATTTTTTTAAGAGTGACAGATCAATCATTCCGTGCGTCCATTAATTATTAAACTCCATTAATTTTCGTAAAGGAAGAAGTCTATGAAATATTTGTGAGGGAGACAATTTTATATCCAAATTGCAGGTCAAGGAGTTTATTATTTATTATTAAAAATTCTGAATCTTTTTTTTCAGTTTAGTTTATTGAAAGAAAGGGAATGTTGATGGGAAATAAGGGAATTGTGAATTGTTTCAATATTTCATAAAGAAAAAGAAAAATTAATTGTTGTGACATAAAAAAATTAGAATTCGAGAAATGGAAAATTAGTCACAACTTTTCAAACACGTTGTAGGGGGCATAATGGGTTGATGTATTATGTGATGGATTGGTCTGTAGGCCACTTCAGAATATACCGATCCTCAATTTTTATTTCGTATTAAAAAAAAAAAAATTATAAATTTAATTTAGATTCATAAGAATGTGAAATAAGAGCAGATTCACGACAAATCAGCAAAAAAGTCGATGCTGGGGACTTTTGTTTCAATTTTCTTCTGAAAAGATGGCTATTAGACAAATATTTTGGAAAAAGGAAATTTAAAAAATATTGATAATTGAGGGAATTATGATTTCTGGAAAATTTTGAGTTCTTTTTTAGTAATTTGGAAAAACCATTCAAAATGAGAGGCCATACGTAGCGTTATCTTCAGGTCATACATAACATTATCTTCAGGCTGACGGGGTTTATGCGAGACCACGTTTTTTTTTCAATCGTTAATTACTCATAAAATTTAATAGAAAACCTCAGCGAATTCGCTAGAAAATTCTATTGGAATTCTCTAGAAATTCTGTGGGGATTCTATTAAAATTCTGGAGAATTCTCGTTAAAATTCTATTTGTTTTTTGCGCCGATTCTATTAGATATTTGATAGAAAAAAGTCAATAGATTTCGATTTTTCTGTTTCAATTTTTCTCTTGAGATTTTTTCTATTAAAATTATTGGGCACAGATTTTCAGTCTTTTTCCGCAATATTTTGTTTTGTTTTGCATTAGAGGATCCGAGTGACATAAACTTAGAAAATTCATACTCGAGTATTCTTACAGAAAAAATTCCAAGACAATATTATTAATGAAAAATCGAAATCTGTTGACTTTTTCCTATCAAATATCTTCTTATAATAGAATCATTAAAAAAATAGAATTTTAACGAGAATTTCCTAGAATTTTAATAGAAGCTAGCTTATTCTATTGAAACTATTCTATTGAAACAGACTTTCTTGGTCATTCTTCGACAATTTTCCTCATTACTCTCATACCACCCTCGCCATTCTCAGAAAGTCATGACGAACGACTCCTAAAAAAATTCAGTCCCTGCGGAAAACAGTTAAATCGGAATTCATGAAAAATTCAGAGTTACAATTTCAAGTATTGAATTTTTTCCAATTATACAATGGAATTTCCAACGTTCAATGGATTCTCGTCCACCTTGATCCCCCTCCCCCTGCTGGTATCGCCTAAGCACCTTTCATCGTTCCATACCACCCAGTCTGATGAAATTATCCCGAGAATTTTTTAATGCCCCTTCAATCTGTCTTCTTAATTACAAAATACGTATTTTTCAGTTAATAATTGTTTTCATGCACGATAGGTGCAAATAACGACGTAATTGTCGCTCTCTGTGCATATTGCTACTATGCATCACGCGCCGACACGTGGTAACAGCACCTACGTACTGACTCTAATGAGCCGCGGTTAATTATCAACTCTGTATCGATTGGAAAAATGATAATTCATGATGTGTGGAATGTTTTTTTGTTGGTCGGATTTACCTCATCTAACTTATAATTACCCCTATCATGAATATTTTTTACTCATGTTTTTTCTCTATTTTTTGTTGTCTGATGTATCGTATCTCCAGATCTTTCTTCATTTTTCTGAAAAATCCGTTCAATGTGGAAAATCTTTGTCTTTGGGAAGAGGAAAAAATGTTGGAAAAAATTTTTTGAATGAAATTTAAGGATATTTTGAATTCGTAATTTTTTTTTCTTTTTTTTGTCGGATGTATCGTATAATTCATTGAGACAAAGAAATCTTTGTCTTTGAGTGAAGAAAACAAAATTTTTTAATTGTAAAAATTGAATTAAAAAATATATCAAGAAAATAATAGTAATAATTATCGTTCGGGAT